AATTTTTGCCACATGTGGAAACAATTTTTTCGAAATTTCAAAACATCAGAACTCTTGAACGGTTGCACATTTTTAGACGAAATTTAAAATCTGTCGATGAAATTCGGTATAGCTTCCTATGAAATTCTAAAATCCAAGATAATACTAACAGTAAAAAATCCTAGGAGGGGGATCAAGAAAATGCTAATTTTTTTCGCAAACTCCGAGTGCAAATTTTTTTTGATAAAATTCCATCATTTGGACTGAAAAGTCAAGATTCAGCATACTGAAAAATTCTGGATACGTCACTGTATTAACGGTGTTCTACAAGTCAACGCCGTAATCTTCGTCGGGAGCACGAGAACAATTTATTTTCGAATATCGACTTGAAACTTTGACCAGGAACAATTTTTAACGAGAGTAGTTGATTGTGGAAGTTTGAAATTCTTTAATTGTTCCTATTGTAAAATACATAGTTTCATTATAAATTACTCGCGTGTTTAATCGTCTCAAGTGGAAATTCGAATATATATTTTCCTTGCTTTTGACGGGAACCATGGCATAGACTCGAAATCGATTAATATTCTACTAGTGGTATCAATGTCAGATAAATATATTTATTGAAAACAATGGAAGATCTAGAATTTTTATGATAGGTAATCCTTCGATGAAGAATAGTTACGGTTATATACATAAAACTTGTTTTTAAGCCTATTCGATTTGGGAAGAGAGCAATTACTTGTCTAAACCCGAAATTGATAAAATAAGTTTGTTGTACTATCGTTTGGCTTCATGGTGATCAGAAAAAAGCATCAAAATATTGATGATATTATACGTGATTGATTCATTCTTGTTAAGAATTTTCCAAAACTTTTATTAAGTTGATATTTAAAATTTTTGTTTTTGATAAATTTCTATTTTAGGTTCGTGTGTTTCGTTTAATAACTGAACATACTGTTGAAGAACGTATTGTTGAACGTGCTGAAATGAAATTACGTCTTGATCATGTCGTTATTCAACAAGGTCGTTTACAAGAAGCAGCAACAAAATTAGATAAAGATGAAATGTTATCAATGATTCGACATGGTGCTACACATGTATTTTCATCTAAACAAGGTGAAAATGAATTAGATGTTGATATTGATCTTGTTTTGGCACAAGGTGAACAAAAAACAAAAGAATTACGAGAAAAATATGAAAATTTGGGTGAAAGTCAATTAAGAAAATTTACTATTGATAATGAAAATTTAAGTGGTCAAAATGCAAGTGGATCCGGTGATGGAACAGATGCTGGTGGTGGTTCAATATATAAATTTGAAGGTGAAGATTATCGAGAAAAACAATCATCAACACTTGGTATTAAATGGATTGAAGTAAACATTATTAAACTTATTTTTATTTGAATAATTATTTAAAAATTTTTTTTTTTTTAGCCACCAAAACGAGAACGTAAAGCAAATTATGCAGTTGATGCATATTTTCGTGAAGCATTACGTATGAGTGAACCACGTGCACCAAAAGCTCCACGTCCTCCACGTCAACCAAATGTTCAAGATTTTCAATTTTTTCCACCACGTCTTTTTGAATTACTTGATCGTGAAATATATGCATATAGAAAATCAATTGGTTATAAAGCTGTACGTGATCCTGATTTAGATGAACAAGAAGGTAAACGACAACAACAAGAAGAACAAAAAAAAATTGATGAAGCTGAACCATTAAATGAAGATGAACAATATGAAAAAGAACAATTACTTCAACAAGGTTTTTGTAATTGGACAAAACGAGATTTTAATCAATTTATTAAAGCAAATGAAAAATATGGTCGAGATGATTTAGATGCTATTTGTCGTGATGTTGAAGGAAAAACACCAGATGAAGTTATGTCTTATGCAAGAGTTTTTTGGGATCGTTGTCATGAATTAACTGATGTTGAACGTATTATGGCACAAATTGAACGTGGTGAAACAAAAATTCATCGACGAATTAGTATTAAAAAAGCACTTGATGCTAAAGTATGTTTCAATCGAATTCTGCTTTGCACGTTACCATAAACATTCTTTCCGAAGAAGCAAAAAAAAAAGAGAAATTAACGAATCGCTGAAACTACTATAGTCAATAGATAAAAAAATCTGGAATCATTTCTCTAGACTGAGACTATTAGAAAAAAAGATTTAGATGAGACTTATACGAACCATTTCAAATAATACTAAGAAATCATATTAATAATGTTTAATTAAATCTGGAAAATAATATATCGGCTAAATCAGACAAAACGGGACATTTACATGTTTCATTTGAGTTTAATTCTTCTAAGAGTGAATTTTTTGGATAAATTCTTTTAGCTTAGACTTATGTGAAAATGCTTGGTCTTTCACATGGTGATTAGCTAAAATTAATTAATTAAAAAGTAATTAGTGAATATATCATGAACCAGATGAGAAAAAACGTCAGAATAGGCTCTAGGACATAAGCTGCATCTATGGTAAAATTTTCAGCAAGATTAGACTCCAAAAAATTTCTTCCGAAAAACCGGTTTTCTAGAGACCCTAAACAGTGCAAAAAGGAAAATTTTTGTCTTATCATCATCTGTGGACTGTGAATAATAATTTGTAGCTTTTGAAGTCGATTTCAAACTTTTCAATCAAGTACAAGAGCACCTTCTTTGTTGCGCAGTCGTATTGTGTCACGTCGCCAACGCCAAATAAACTCAATTTAGTTAAAAATCTAAACATATTCAGAAAAAACATTGAGTAGATATTTTTGTAGCTTCAAGAGTCGCCTGCAACATTTACTATTTAGTTTTCGAAAATACTATTTCGATTCGCAGATTTTTCAAACTGAAATGCTTGTAGTGGAAGTTGATGTCCTTTTTTTGAGTCACGTCGCTAACGCTAGTTTTTTAATCATAACTCCGACGAACAAGAATCCCTAGGGTTGTTTCTTTCAAGGTGTCTAGAACAACTTAGCATACTTATAGGATATAAAAAAATGCGAAAACCTCGGATTTAAATCCGAGCGTTATGTGTACTTCAAAAAGTGAAAAGGTATATTCACTGTGTTTTTTATCACTAAATTGCAAGGAGAAAATACAGGCGTGCTAAGTTAGCA